AAAACGTAAATAGTTCAAAGTCTGTGGACATTTTAAAGTCCACAATCTTTGTCCGATTGAGATGAAACGTAAAACATATGTTAAGGATCAATAAAATAGGACAATTTGGTGTGATTGTATCGAAAGTCGTGCATCGGAAAATAGCCGCCATGTTGAATTTTCGAATGGCTAATGAACTTATTCAAAAATAGTAGTCCTTACCGAGTATTTGTCCTATGTTTGATACTTGCATCAAAATCTGAAAGATTTCCATGATATGCAGTTATTAGCAGTATATTTGGGGTTTATCTGTATTGGCCGTTCAGATCTGTATTGAACTTGTATGGGGCATGTTTTCAGAGATTAAATCTAAGACTGTGTTTGAATGGATCAAAATAAGACTTTAAGCTGCATTGCCGAATTTGACGATACTTTACTCTATATTTCAGGATCCACAAGAGAACCCGCCCTGGAATCAGCAAGCTATGGGTCGTTTGGAGCGGCGGGGGTAAACTATGGAGTAGGCCAAATTAACTGAACAGAAGGAGGATAATGATGAGAAGTCAATACAAATGTTTCAGAGAGGTTCGGGTGCTGGGTTCCACCAGGATGTTTCCGGGACGAGACCTGTATAAAAGAAGGCGGAGAAAACTTTATTGCATAAGTATTTACAGAATATGCACATCATTACTTACTTAATCTGTGCACTTTTTTTCTAAATCTATACCTGCCCTGGTGTAACCCGTGTGTACTTATACGGTCTATGAGTTGTGTGCAGATTCTAAGGCCTGGACATCCATCTTTTATCCGATTAATTGAGCATGTTCTATAACAATTACGTAAATGATACAATTCGTAGAAAGGGCAAAATATGATGACTTACATATTTCTGAAACACGTGTATACGATACTTGATGTTTGCTTGCCAAAAAAATCAAATCTAAAAATGTTAGCACCTTATCCACCTGCACGTTACGGCAAAGTGTTAACACCCTTTAATCCTTTTCAAACACGCTTACTAGATTAACACATTCAGTGAATTCAAAGATCGCCTAAAGTTCAAGCGTAGATCATGATTCAGGTGTGGAGAATAAGAAAATGCAGATCTCAATGAGAAGGAAAAACAGACCCCGTGTGATCTCTGATCAGTTCAAGTTATATCATACAATAATATCGTTTTAAGTGATTTTCAGAATTCCAATGACTTTTAGGTGGACGAAGCATACTTGAACTTTTCTTGTGGCTATTAAACCGTAACCAAGTAGACGGTGGGACAATAACCAATTGGCTGAGATATTACATCGCCCTAAACAGGTGGTTAAATCCCACTCCTGTTTGACGTGACTCAATCAGGAGAATGAACATGAATACGGCCAGTTTCCCGCCAGAGAAAGTTAGATTTAATTTCTATTCTTTCACGGTTTTTTTTTTTGTTGGTTTTTTTTTCGTTTTAAATTTTGAAATTTATAATTACCATACTGGAATCTGTGGACAAAAATTAGAAATTTAAAAAAGATGTATTGTTTAAACGTCCACTCAACCAACAGACGGCGGAATCTGGAGAAACACATGCATTTCGGTGGGTGAACACCCTCTTTGACACATTCTGTTGGCTTGCATAGGGCTAGATCTATCTGTTAAGGCCAACTCAATTTTCGTCAAGGTTGCTGGGATGTAAATAAGGTTAGAGCACGCGATTATTGGCGAGATTGTAGGTTAGGGTTAGGAAAAGCGTTGGGGCTATGTCCAGGGTTAGGGTTAGGTTTGGAATTAGCGGTAGCCCTGTTTACATCTCGTGACCTTTGACCAAACTTGAAGTTGGCCTTATTAAATAGATCTAACCCTTGCATAGATAGTGAACCTTGGATCCACAATTCCTTCGGGGTACGCTGGCTGCTAGAGTTATGATCCGACTGACTTCAAATTTATGTACAGTGTTTATCTATTGAAGAATTATATCGACCCTGTCGATTTCCAATTCTTTTTTTCTGGGTTATTGCCCTCGATCACACCGAAAAACCATGAGACTCTCATAGAACTTTATACACAGGGTTGATTTTCAAGCCATAATTTATTTCAGGATTATTCCCTTGATCACTTTAAAAATACCAGAGAGATAGAAAAATGGGGTTTAATGTTCACTCGACGCAAACTAGGTAATTTCTGGAATAGCATATGCTTTAATTTAATTTCAATTATTCGCTTTCGCGTAGGGGTCTTTAGCAGTGGCAGGAATCCGAAAACCGACGAGGATGGATATACGACCCTACTCCTTGTCACGTACAAACTTGGAATCGAACCCCCGCCACATGATTCAATAACAGACCTTCTGATCAAGAGCGTAATACGCCATCTAGAAGTTAACTTTAGCATGACATTGATCTGAATATGTAGTGTTCATCTTCATGAATTACAACAATTTATGATAATTCTTTTCAGAAATGTTGCCCATGATTACTCTTCTTGTAGATGCCCTTATAGTGGACAATATTATCATCAGCCGAACTTCAGTTTATATTCATTAGAAGATGTTCAAAGATTTCTGATATTGTTGATGTTAATGCTAAAATGTATCGTACATTTCGTGTCTGGCAACTGGTGTTTTTTAGTCATGCTAAACTATATAAAGAAGTTTCGTTAGAAAGTCTTTTGGGTGGTGGTCATTCGTTTAAATACATGTATAGTGTCTCGTCTCATGGGCAGGAAAAGAGCCACGGTTGCTTAGTGTGTATGTGTTCGCCGAGACGTTGCAGGGGATTTTTCATCGCGTTTCCCCTTGTCAGTAACGGTGTCTAGCCGTTCGGGCGGGCGTAAAAATGAGGTCCCGTGTACACGTTGTCGTGCATGTAGAAGAACCATTGACAGTTAGTACATCCCGTCTTAAGATGCATTATGTAAGATTTAGATAAAGGGTTGGACGTTCTTGCTATAAAAGTTGAAAATAGATAATGAAAAATGAATATATATTGAAGATTTCATTCAAATTACTTTATTCTGAGCGAGTGAAGGAACTCTTATATATTAAATCCAAGTTTACTAAATGTCATTGTGCTTGATAACGATAAGAGGATACTTGTCGAAACGTCGTGCTATTAGAATAAAACCAGTGATTGTTTCCCATAAAAATTGTTCTGTTATCGAGTGAAGGAAGTTGTAAAGTTGATCGTTTATTATCAACGGTACTGGACATACGAGACTAAGCCTCGATTGCCCTTTTTATCGTTGAATTTTTCAATCTCGCGGATGTTTAAATCCATTTAAATCCCTGGAGAGTTGATTATAAACTTGTCGTGTTAAATGTCTAAATAATACTTTATGTAACATTGAAAGCCAAAAGAGCCCTGTAATAGACATATTTAGCTCTTACATAATGCATCTTTAATAAATCAGGTGGGAGCGGGAAAGTGGGACGTTAAACCCCATTTCATATCATGATCGGAACAGTAGGACATTAATATACTTCCCGTGGTGGCTTTCAACCAAAGTGTTTTAGAATGTTGCTTATTAGATTTGTTTAAATAAAGTTGCCCAGTCACGTTGAGGCGGGGAGGGGGCATAATAAGGGAAAAAACCCAGACGGTTGCCGGTGATCTTTATTTCGATAAGTTTAACAGTGATGGCATATGGCCTTTATTATTGGTCGATTTTTAAAACGGGTATGTATTTCTTGAATGATGCTCAATCGGATTTGTTTTCAAATAAAGCATGCAGCCTCACCCCTTGGCTTTTATGCGATTGGCGAGTGCCTATACCCGCTAATGACACTTGCGATTTATTTTTAAAATAAAGATGAGCCATAAAAATGGTAAATGACCTAGTTTTGTATTGAGTGGACGTTAAACTTTGTCCTTGCCTCATTTTGTTAAAAGAAAAATATATAAAAAAATAAATTAGTATAGGGTTGTATGTCCTACTTTTTTGAACCGACTCAGCGGGACGGATGGTCAATGTGACATGAGGGAAATTTTTCCCGACTAACGGCGCTCCCGCCTACTTTTATTTCAGGGTGCTTTTGCGTACACAAGGGAGTAAGACGCTAGCTTGCTAACTTGGAGGTTTCGTGTTCAATACAGGCGTTGGTCGGGAAAGTTCAACGGATTTCCCCCTTGTTAGTGGTGCAAGACAATTAAGGGGCCTTGCAAGGGACAATGTATAGTCGTTCGGATGGGACGAAAACCCGGGGCCACGTGTACACATTGGCGTGCATATGTGTACAGCTGAGATTCGATATAAGAGTAGGCCGTAGCGCCGCTGTCCGGGCACAATTCTCATAGCACACTGTATGGCGTATGCCTGTCGTCATTAGCCCAGTCGGAGCAGACAGTGAGACGCTAAACCCCAATTTATTTCATTTCGTGCACGACAATGGGCACACTAAAGTACAGAACCTCGTTTTTTTGTAACATCTGAACTATCGGATAAGGGGAAATCACGATGGAAAATCCTGAGGAAAATCGGGGTGGAAACGGGGATCGAACCCCATGATCTCCTGTTAATAGTGTTAAGTAGCGCTTAACTTTCGGATCCACTGCGGCTAGCTTATGTTTTATTTTGGTTTTTTTTTTAAAGAACACACGCTAAATAACAATTACGGGTTGCTATTTTTACTGATTGCCTTACAGGGGAAAATAAGTAGCCTATTGAAATTATGATCCATATCTGTTATTTTTGTTTTGTTTTAAATATTTAAAAATTGTGAATAAATTGTTTGGTTCTTCGTGATCAATAGGAATGGGAATGGTAACAATTAGTTTCAGTCTAAAGGGATGTCGGGGAAAATATATCTTAATAGAACATTTTTGTGGACATTTTCACGTTTGTTCTCAAGCGCCTATCGCCTTCAGACAATTGTCAAACAATTCGCACTCTTTTTTTCCCTACTTCACAAACACGCTGCATTTCAATGCATTGGTCTTTGAGCATACTTCACTTCTAAGCACGGTATGTCATTCAATAGAAAATCATTTCTTTTCAGCCATTGCTGTTTGTCGACTGGCTCACTCACTTATCTCATCAATATTCATGAGGTCAAAGCCAGGCCATACTCTGTGTTATTGAAGTTGAACATAGTAATGGCGGCAGAATGTCTTGCTTAAGCGTGTTGTGTTGTGTTTTAGCCATAATTTCTACATTATATGGTGAGTAAGAGTTTTGATTTTTTACACGGAGATTTATAACTGCTATGTACACGATTCCTTCATAATTTTTGAGTTGGATAATGAAGATGACGATTAAAAATCACCGCTGGACATTTGTCGCCGTTGAGGCGCCGTTCAGACTGTCTTGTTATCATATGGTACAATGTATAGAAATGTGTAACATAGTAGGTCTTCTCTGACAATCGTAGTGGGGCTTGTTCGTATTAAGAGTAAATAAATGAAAAGAAAACCAAGTATAACACAACTTACAGTTTAATATATTTAGCATGGTTTACACAGAATGGCATTTGCATTTATCTGAGGAAATATAAATCGGAACAGGCTAATTTTAAGAGAAATGTGCCCGTCTGTTGTACCTTTGGGAGATGTATATTTATTCACCTGCGTGCCAGGTTTTGGGGCATTACCAGGTTCATATAACGTTTATTACTATTAGAATAAAATCACAAATTCTGTTTAAAGCAATGGTCTTTTACACCAAGAACACACTTATCTAAAATAGGTTACATACATAATCATAATGACTGCAAATCTTATCAAACGTGACAGGTTTGTCAAATGATAAACACATCTTCGGTTTGAATGACTTGGTTTACTGTTTGGTTAAACATATCTTTGTTCATACCATGAATTTGATTAAAGTCTATTCTACATGTAATTAAGTGTCAGTATGCTTGAATGGTTAATTTACAAGTAATACATATTTGTGAAAAAATAAAAAAATAAACAGGGTTTAATGTCCTATTTTTCTGGGCTAATGAAGACGGGTACATATGGATTAAAGATGCATTATGTAAGAGCTGAATCTGCCTATTGCCGTTTTTTTTTCTGGCTTCAAATGTTATGAAATTTATTATTTACATGTAAACATTTATTAACATGACAGAATCAACTTTTTGGGCCATGGATGCCTCCATTTTTAAGAAGATTAGAACACTGCGGCCATTTAAGAGTTTAACTATAAAATAGATAAATGAGACATAGTCTCGATTTTAAAGTACCGATAATTAACAACCTATGTTACATTAGCCTAAGACTTGCCTTGTTATCAACAAAATCAACTGAATAGTTTGTTCAACTCGTAAATTGATAGTTAAAAAGTCAACATCTCGGAGGTGAATTGAATAAAAATTTCCATACAATCTAATTTGAGGATCTCTGTACATGTAACGGTATAGGCTAATAAAAATCATGACAAATCAAACAGTAGGCAAAGAGCCGCTTTTATGTAAACCTATTAATTGAATAGGATCAAAAGTAGGAATAAATCAATATTAATGGAAAATATAAATTTGTTGACACTGTTAATGTCTCATAATTTATTGATCCAAAAGTGTGATTGATCCATTGAATGTATAATGCAATATGCATGCATTGATATGCCATTGATTAAACTGTAATTCTTACAGTATTTGTTACCTTTGTATTTTTGTAATGAAGCCCATCAGCATGACATAAAACATATAACTTTGTTAGCCACATAGATATCAGGGCTGGCCACGAATAAATTGATGGCGAGCAGATGACTGCTCACGCAAATTTAGGTTTGGGCGAGCAAGGCGAGCAATAAAAATTGCTCACGCAAAATGTTGTTTGCGTGAGCACACGTTTTGTAACATTGTTTCAATTTAAAATCATAAAAAAATTGCTATTCCTGGCACAAAGTTTGCAGTGAACATGTGTGACCATCGCTTTCTGTTTTTGACAGTCATACGTACTCTTCTTTATTAAAACCAATTTCCGTATGGATTTCTTCACCCCACGAAATAAATGTGGATAGGGCAATCAGGTTGCCTTTGGCCATTATTACGCTTAGATTGAAAATTATACGACTGCACAATGGAATAAAAACCGAAGTTCTGATAAAATAGGAAATACCGATAAATATTAGTTTGAAACGTGTTCATTTAGCGTGAATGCCAAATGCCGGATGTAAACATTCTTTACTTTAGACTCGATTATCACGTGTTTGTTACTGGTGTTCGTGGGAAAACCAGTCATGACGTTCAGGTCTAAAGTGTATTTTTAGTAACACAAGTTGCGAGTAACTTTATTACCCAATCAAATTTCAGGAGGAAATGCCGCGTGCAGCTGGGTGAATCTCAGTTTGACAGACGAATTTATGACGTTATTGACATTGTTGGGTTAGTTTCGGCAATAAACTTGTCAATATTTTGATTATTTTTACTGGGTTTTCTTAAAATTTTGCGCGAGCAACGAACCGCTCGCGTAAATGTAGATTTACGCGAGCGCGAGCAGTTGCTCGCGTCTCGTGGCAAGCCCTGGATATCAGTATACAGTTCTCCTTACAATATGTAAATTTTATAAAATAAACAACAGTTACTATTCTATAGGATATCCATGTACAGGTTACATCATATTGTATGAATTTGGCAAACTGTGACTACATGTATATTGTATACATGTACTTATAATGAGAATTGATTTATAGCACATTAATTGTATGCAATGTATAATACATGTACATGTCTTTGGATGATTTTGTATACATATCGGTATTAAATTATGTACATCTTATACTAGTAAGTGCAGGAGGACCGCACCACACGCAAACACTGGCAAACAGATCCTGTAAGAGAAACCTGTGCACAATACACAAAATACACATACAACGCAAGCAATCATCAACAAATGTATCAAATCAAGTGAATGGATGGGGGAGAGTGTAGAGTATTTTTCATTAGTTAAAATGGCATTTTGTAAGATTAGATACAGAGCTGACAGTTCTCGCTATGATAGTTAAAATGTAGATAATGAGAAGAGAATATACTGAAAATTTCTTCACTCTGAACCTAATTTTAGGTTAGCCTCGATCGTCATTACTACCATTGTTACGATAATAAACAACGTCGCGATTACCCATTTTTACGGTTATTTCATCCACCGTAAAACGTATTCAAATCCAATAAACGTCCCAGGCATCCGATGGCACCTAGATTTGATTACAAATGATCTTGGCAAATTAATTAGATAACATTTAAGGCCTAAAGAAAGGCCTGCAATAGGCAGATTTAGCTCTTGCATAATGCATATTTAAGTACTTTCAATGTATTATTCTTTATATGGGGAGAAAATGTCTACATTTGCTCTATTAATTTATACATTTAAGCTTCCCATGTACATGTATACACTGTTCAAATGCTGATATATACATTTATCTTTCCAGAGGTCTTTCTGTGATTTACTTATCGAATGTTGTGCACACAACAATAGGCATCAAATACTGCCTGTTTATATTGCAATGTATTTCTCTTTATTTTTTGATCACACTTGATTTCATTTTGTGGCATTGTTTTCAACACAATTTCCAATTTATAAGTCTGGATATCCATATTGTGAGAGCAGATGTATAATTACATCTTCCAATCAATGTATGTCACTTGAATACAAGTTTACATGTACATTGTATGTGAAAATGCTAAAAATAATAATGCTGGAACTCTCCCCTGGTCCCCAGCCACCCTCAAAATAACTATAAAAATGTGTAGGGGAGTAATTTCATTTTAATTTACTGTGAGCTGCAATGACATCACCGTAATTAAAAAAAAAGAAAAGCATTCTCCATTTTAGTATACAAGCATAATGATTTCTGTCAGTATTGATCTAATACATACATGTACCTAGATTTGTTTACCACAAAATGACCCAATATTGTTGTGGAAAATATTACTATACCCTACAGTAGTGTCACTCCAGTTCATTTAGGAAAGTATTTTATTAGCTGGGTAATACAAGTTTATGACCCTTCTTTTCAAGATGAAAATAACAAGATTATTGTGTAGGAAAATAAGTAATATTTCACAGTTCAATATTTACTATGTAGACCTCCTATTGCTTATGTGATATATACTATATAATACTGATGTGAAGACTGGTTTATCATGTAGATCTAAAGGCCAGCCGTATGTCAACAACCATCACAATCCATGCAGAGATTTTCTTTCTTACTACTCACTCAAATTGACCTCCTCCATTAACTCCAGTTTATCAAAAACATACTTAAATATATTCAACTAAAGATACATAAGGATGAATTAAAATGGATTAGCTAAATATATTCAACTAAAGATACATTAGGATGAATTAAAATGGATTAGCTGAATACATGTATATTCAACTAAAAATACATTAGGATGAATTAAAATGGATTAGCTCAATGTAATATTCTCATAAAAAAAAACGATCGCCCAGACCAAACACAATAATTTTCTTTTCCTGATTTTGTCATAAAGCAATTGAAATAATTTGTCATAATTCGACCAAAATCTATTGTTGATATGACATTAAATAACCAAGAAAGTAGGCCTAAATGTACCTGAACAATGGTGGAACCTGTAGTTTATTCATAAGGAATAAGAATCTTTGTTTAAGCAAATTTGTCTCATTAACTCCTTAACACCCTAACACCCTGTTTGATCCAAGATTAATCTAAGTAATTCCACTGTATAAATTGACATCTTTATTCTTTGTGTCAATTCAACCAGATCTATAAATAAAAGGTTTTAAAAGTAATGACCATTTCAGTAAATTTTCTGAACACTGTCTGTAATAAGGAGTTACATGTATTGTAATTGAAGTATTAAGTGTGACTGTGTGTGGTCATTAAACTAGTAAACAATAAGACCATTGCTGATCAGCTACAACTACAAGGTAGTTTTACAAGTTTTAATATATACCATTTACACCTAGTTTATGGCATCTGACTACAGGAGTTTTAAAAGCACTTGAGGTTAGATTTTGTACAGTTCAGTATTCGGTTTATGACAATCAGTACCAGTACTTTGTTTGTGAACGTCACTGATCCCTACTTTTCTGCCAAAGTATAATTTTTCACACATTAATATACATCCCACAATAAGATGTACTCAAATTGATTATTTAATATTTGATTAAGAAAACAAATCCAAATATCAACATTAATTAAGGGGATTGTTTATATCATCTGCAGATACCGGATT